AAAAAAATTGAGGTTATGACTATGCCCTCTATTTCTACTACTACTACACAGAATAGGACAATTTGATCTAGCAAATATAAAATAAAGAGACTTAAAAGATTCTGTCTTAACTGGTATAGTAGTTTACACCTGTAATCCCAACTGCCTGGGAGATGGAAAATCAAATGATCACAGTTGAGGCCAGCCTGGACAAGAAGTTAACAAGACCCTACCTATCTCAACCAACAAGCCAGAGGTGGTGGTTCAGCCTGTAATCCTAGCTACGCAGGAAGCATAGGAAGAGTCTAGTCTGAGGACAGCCCCAGGGGAAAATGCAAGACCATACGCAAAAAATAGGCAAAGCAAAAAGGACTAGAGGTTTGGTTCAAGTGCTTGAGCTAGCAAAAACAAGTTCCTGAATCCAAAATTCAAATACCACCACTTTAAAAGGGAAAAAAAAGATAAGGTTATTTCTCTACACATTCTCTATTACCTGGATGTGGCTGCTAGTTTCATGCTGTTTGCTGAACGCCAGTGTGCTAAGAATATAGAAGAGTTTTCTTATTTGTCGAGGGGAGATATTCTCCAGATAATCTAAAATGCCCTGTAAGAAAACAGAATGACAGCAATGAAGTTAGTAGTTATGATTAATCTCCTTAAATAAAAGTAAAATCCTTATTATGGCTTCAATATGAATGGTGGCCTGCCTGCCTGCCAGCAGAGAAGCTTTTGCAAAGTGAATGCATCTTGAGAACTCTGACAACATCCGCAAATTCTTACATCATATGAGGGTGTTATTGGCCACTGGTGAAAGAAGGTAAGGCCTACCTAGCTGGAGGATGTCACTAGGAGCATACTTTTCAAACAGGTGTCATATCCTTACTACCCCTTCCTTTATCTCAGCCTCTGCCAACTTCACCTGCTGTGGTATTCTGCCTTACCTCAGGCCCAAAGTAATGGAGCCAGCTGACCACGGATAGAAACATCTGAGATCAGGAGCAAAAATAAAGTTTTCCTCCTTCAACTTGTTCTCTAAGGTATTAATCATTGATAAGAAGTCTAACATAATCTTTATCAGACAATCATTCAGCCAAGCTTAGGTTATAAAAACTTAGATTATAAAAGTTGTGCTCTGAACCCAAAGGCTCGACATTTTGGAAATAAGCTAAGAAGGCAACTGTGACTAAATCATTCTTTTTTTTTTTTTGTCTTTCTTTTTTTGGTACTGGGGATCGAACCCAGGACGTTGCGCTTGTTAGGCAAGCGCTTTGCCACTGAGCTACATCCCAGCCCGACTAAATCATTCTTCTCACAAGTTAGGAACCACCAGAAACAAAAGAAAACTCATTTGTCCTCTGCATTCTGAACCACAATCCTGGGCTTGCACGGTTATTCCGGTACATATTCTAGTACTCTGTATTCTTTTTTTTGGGGGGGGTGGGGTGGGGGGGATCATGGAGCTTGAACTCTGGGCCTGGGTGCCATCCCTCAGCTCTGCAGCTCAAGGCAAGCACTCTACCACTTGAGCCACAGTGCATTTCTGGTTTTCTGGTGCTTAAGTAGAGATAAGAGTCTCACAGATTTTCCAACCCAGGCTGGCTTTGAACCACCATCCTCAGATCTCAGCCTCCTGAGTAGCTGGAATTACAGACGTGAGTCCCTGGTGCCCGGTTACTAGGTATTCACCTCCTCTCTTTCTGTCCTAGCTTGCTTCAAACTGGGATGCTCAGATCTCACCCTCCTAAGTAGCCAGAATTACAGGCATGAGCCTCCAGTGCCTGGCTTCAGTCTGTATTTTAGTGACTTGTTTGTGTGTCTTATTATCATCAAAAACAAAGACAGATCTTCATATCTACAGCATTCAGAGCAAAGGCTGGCACATAATTAGGTACAAAAATATGGCTTATAAAAAAAAATATGGCTTATGCCTCTAATCCTAGCTATCAGGAGGCTAAGATCTAAGATTGTGTTCAAAGCCAGACCTGCCAGGAAAGTCTGCAAGGCTCTTTTTTTTTGCCAGACCTGGGGCTTGAACTCAGGGCCTGGGTACTGCCCCTGAGCTTCGTTTGCTCAAGGCTAGCACTCTATCACTTGAGCCACAGTGCCACTTCCAGTTTTCTGAGTGGTTTATTGGAGATAAGAGTCTCATGGGGGGGGAGGGGGAAGGGTAGAGTGTAGTCATGGAGGTGGGAGGGCAGGGATGGTAGGGGAAAAACAAAGGAGGAGGCAACACTGCTTGATAAGAAATGTACTCATTACCTTGATCATATAATTAACCTCTCTGTACTGTATTTTCACAAGAAAAAAACTTATTAAAAAAAAAAAAAGAGTCTCATGGACTCCTGAGGTAGCTAGGATTATATGTGTGAGCCACACCAGCTTCTGCAAGATTTTTATCTCCAATTAACCAGCAAAAGTCTGAAAGTG